CGGAGCATGATTAGTCTGACAACATTGCTAGAATCATTTTGGGGATATGCATTGAAAACAGCAGCGCACACACTCAACAGAGTTCCATCTAAAGCTGTCGAGAGCACACCATACGAACTATGGCGTGGGAGAAAACCGAGTTTCTCGTACTTTAAGATTTGGGGCTGTGAAGCTTATGTAAAACGTCTCATGACGTCTAGTAAGTAGGAGCCTAAATCTGATAAAGTAATTTTTGTGGGATACCCCAAGGAAACTAGAGGGTATGAGTTCTATCATCCATCCGATAACAAAATCTTCGTTGCTCGGAATGGAACATTCCTAGAGAAGGAGTTTCTTTCTGCTATCACTAGTGGGAGAAAGGTAGACCTCGAAGAAATTCGAGAACCACAAGAAGAAGTCCTGATAGTGTTGGATCCTGAGCAAAGAGATCAAGCAATTGAACCTCAAATTGCTCAAGATATACCACGTAGGTCAGACCGGATACGTAATCCTCCGGTCAGATATGGATTTCTCATGTCTGATGAAGGTGACGTCTTGTTGGTAGATCAATGCGAACCAGAGACCTACCTCGAGGCAATTACATGCCCCGAATCCGATCTATGGCTCGAAGCCATGAAATCTGAAATGGAGTCTATGTACACAAACCAAGTCTGGACCTTGGTTGATGCGCCAAAGGGGTAAAACCCATTGGATGCAAGTGGGTCTTCAAAAAGAAGACAGATGTAGACGGGAAGGTTCATACCTTCAAAGCTAGATTGGTAGCAAATGGTTATAGACAAATCCACGGAATTGACTATGATGAAACCTTTTCTCCAGTTGTTATGCTGAAATCCATTCGGATAATGCTTGCGATTGCAGCCTATTACGATTATGAAATTTGGCAGATGGACGTCAAAACGGATTTTCTTAATGGGAACCTCAAAGAGGATGTCTTCATGACACAGCCTAACGGTTTTCAAATTGCTGGTCAGTCTGCCAAAGTTTGTAAACTGCAACGTTCAATCTATGGATTAAAACAAGCATCTCAGAGTTGGTACATACGTTTCGATGAAACCATTTCCAATTTTGGTTTCGAGAAGAACTCTGATGAATCTTGTGTATACAAGAAGGTCAGTGGGAGTGTAATAGTATTCCTAATATTATATGTCGATGACATATTGTTAATGGGTAACGATATTCTCGCTCTCACTTCTGTAAAGACGTGGTTGAGCGAGAACTTCTCCATGAAAGACTTAGGGGATGCTAGTTATGTCCTTGGCATAAGAATCTACCGAGATAGATCAAGAAAGTTAATAGGTCTGAATCAAAGTACATATATAGATAAAATCCTTGATCGATTTAGCATGTCTAACTCAAAGAAAGGATCTTTACCTATGACACCTGGCACGGTTCTTTCCAAGA